TTCAGACCCGCCCAGGCAACTTGGCGAGACCTTGTCTCTACAATAAATCAAAAATTAGCCAGGCATGGTAGCATGTGCCTATAGTTCTGGCTGCTTGGAAGGCTGAGGTGGAAGGATTGCCAGAGCCCAGCAGGTCAACACTGGGGTGGCTGTGAGTTTGCCACTGCCCTCCAGCCTGGGCAACAGAGTGAGACTCCAACTCAAAAAGAAAAGAAAAAGGAAATACATTGAATTAGGAAATGATCCTTAGCCCGTAAGCTGTCTAAAGGTTAAATCATGTGGTGACTCGCCTTGTCCTTTGTACTCTAACCCTGTCGTGTGATGTTATGTTTCAGGGGCCCCAGAAGAAGCCCCACATGCCAGGGCCCTGAGGGACCAAGGATCCCCCGAACCAGAGCCCATAACTGGGGTGGCCAAGCCGGAACCACCCCAGGTGCCCCCGCTCCTGCCCCGCCGGCCAGCACCCAGAGTTCCTGCCATCAAGAAGCCAACCTTGAGAAGGACGGGAAAGGTAAAACCCTGGGGGTGTAAGCCTCTGACTCCTCAGTTGCTGAAATGTCTTGTGAGACAAGAATTGTGTATCACAGACAACTCTAGCTGCGTGTCGACGCTGTCAGAGTTGTGAGCCCCAGACAGAGTGCAGCTTTGTGGAAAGAGTGATGGCCACTCCCTCCCTCACCCCTGCTGTCTCAGCACTGCTGGCCAGGGCACCCAGGAGCTCATCTTCCTGCGCAGATGCTCAGTGTGCCAAGCACAGCCTGGTGGTGTCATGCTTCTAGATGTTCCGAGTGTCCGGCGGGCACCACTGTGGACTGCTTTTTCCCACACATTCCAGTACCGCCTGTGTGTGCGTGTCTGTGTTGTAAGCAGGTTTCACTCGCATTAGATGAACCCTGGCAGATCTAGAGTGCTGTCCGCCGGGCTCTTGCACCGCAGCCTCCTGAGGCCCACAGCCTTCCTCGCCACTTTTCTTGCAGATTGTGTTCTGCTCTCGCTCTCAAGCTGCTCAGCCTTGCTTACTGCTCCAAAGACATGAGTTTGTAAGGACAGTAGCAGCCCAGAGACTGGCACCCATAGACACAGCTGGATCTTCTGTGTGATCTCGGTGTTCTGTGACAGGACCCCCGGTAATCCCCTGCCTGGTCGTCTCCCCCCACGGGACGTGTGCGAAGCTGCTTGATGCTCACTCTTGATAGAGCTTGCTTTGTATTTTTCAAATTGCTCTTCCATCCTGCCTGGGCTTGTGCTGTCTGTCTACTGTCCATGCCTTCTTACAGAATTGCTTCTCCTTTCCCCTCTTCAGATGCTCCTCGACTTAAAATGGGGTTACGTCCCAATAAACTCATCGTAAATTGAAAATACCATACATTGAAAATATATCTAGGCTGAGAATGGTGACTCACGTCTGTAATCCCAGCACTCTGGGAGGCCAAGGCAGGGGGGTTGCTTGAATCCAGGAGTTCAGTACCAGCCTGGGCAACAATGTGAGACTCATCTCTACAAAAAAATCAAAAGTGTAGCTGGGCATGATGGTGCATGTCTGTAGTCCCAGCTACTCAGGAGGCTGAGGCAAAAGGATCGTCAGAGCCCAGGAGGTTGAGGCTGCAGTGAGCCATGACAGTGCCACTGCACTCAAGCCTGGGTGACAGAGTGAGAACCTGACTCAAATAAATAAATAAGAAGAAGAAGAAGAAGATGCTCTAATAACCCAGCAGACATCATGGCTTAGCCTGGTCTACCTTGAACATGCTCAGAGCACTTACGTCAGCCTACAGCTGGACATAGCATCTCATACAAAGCCTATTTTATAAATAATAAAAATTAAAGATGGCTGGGCTTGGCTCAGCCTGTAATCCCAGCACTTTGGGAGACCGAGACGAGTAGATTGCCTGAACCTGCAGGTTCAAGACAGCCCAGGCAACTTGTTGAGACCTCGTCTCTACAATAAATCAAAAATTAGCTGGACATGGTAGCGTGTACCTGTAGTTCCAGCTACTTGGAAGGCTGAGGTGGAAAGATCGCCAGAGCCCAGCAGGTCAAGGCTGTGGTGGCTGTGAGCGTGCCACTGCACTCTAGCCTGGGCAACGGAGTAAGACTCCATCTCAAAAAAAAAAATTAAAGATAAAAATTCGAAGGCTGCTTTCTGCTGAATGTGTATTACTTTTGTACCATCCTAAAGTTGAAAAGTCCTTCGTAGAGCCATTGTTAAGTGGGGGACCATCTTGCTTTGTCTTTTCTTTTAAAAGCCAGGAGCAGAAATTAACTCATTTCTCAACCTGCTACACAGGAGTCAGAGTGCAAGGCTGTTGGAGAAGAGGTTATTTTTCATTTTGTTTTCTTAAGAAACCAAAGGAAATAACAAAATGCCAACACTCACCTGCTTTGCCAGCTGCCATTTCTACACAGAAGGTCCATTTGCCTGTGTGCTGTTTCCTTTGTGATAGATTCAAATCAGAACCAAGGCAGTGAAGTTCCTGTGTGAAGTTTTCCATTCTTCTGTATTTAAGCATAAAAGACTCACAGAGAAAATGTACCTGTTAGTCCTGCAGTTAGCTTGATACTGTACCATAAGTCATTCCACCCTAGCATGATGCAGACTGAATTATCAGCCCCAGCTGCATTCTCAAAGAATGTTTTCAGAGAGGTTTGCTTTTAATAGGGAAGAGCATGACCCTATTTCCTGAAGTAACAAAGAGAAATGTGTCCCAAATTATTCACCGTGGCCCTGGTTTTAAAATTTCCACCCATTTCCACTGGACATGCTGGTACGACCTGATAAATGTGTGTTTCTCGTGTGCTTTTTCTTACCTGGACACATTTCCAGCATCCCAGACATTCTCAAATCTCGAATTTGCCAGAATGTCAGCTTAGTTTCCTCTCTGTTCTCTGCAGACCATTACATGTTCCCTGATGCTCAACTTCCTCAGTGTTGGCTTCTTGTTCACACTCTTTGTCTTGCCTTTTCTCAGCCCCTGTCACCGGAAGAACAGTTTGAACAGCAGGCTGTCCATTTTACAATTGGACCCCCGGAGGCAAGCCATGAGACCTCTCCTCTAGGGACAGCCCCTCAGGTCCCTCCTGTTCCCAAACCAAGAACATTTCAGCCCGGCAAGGGTGCAGAGAGGAAGCCAAGCAGTGGAAGGCCAATGCCAGGTGAAACTCCATCCATGGCAGGAGCCACCGCGTTGCCACCCCCAGAGGCGCCATCTCTTGTGCCCAAGGTCCCGCCAAGGAGGAAGAAGTCAGCCCCCGCAGCCTTCCACCTACAGGTCCTGCAGAACAGCAGCCAGCTTCTCCAGGGTCTCACCCACACCGGCGACAGCAGTGACAGCTATCCCTCTGAACACCAGTCTGATGCAGGTGCTCTCCTTCCACAAGGGCATTTTCTTGGCACTTCATCTGCTACAAGCCCTGAATCCGACAGCACCAAAGGGCTGAAGCCAGAGGAGGCCTCCCTTCTTGGTGATTATCAGGATCCCTTCTGGAACCTTCTCCACCATCCTAAGCTGTTGACAAATGCCTGGCTTTCCAAGAGCTCAGACCCCTTGGGGATAGGGACCAGGAGCCCTGAAAGGGCAGACACAGGCCCAGCGCCAGCCAGTGCTTCACCAGCTGGCACAGAGTTGCCACCAGAACGAGGGCAAAAAACCTTGGGTCACTGGGTGACAATCAGTGACAAAGACACGAGGACGTCACTGCAGGTGTTTGATCCACTGGCAAAAACATGACTGAGCCCCTTTGAAGGCTGCCTTCTTAGAATGCATAGCATCAGGGTCGAAAGAGACGTCTATATAAAGGCACACTGGCAACAACGTTTGTGCACCTGTCACTCTTGTGTAGTTGACAAAAATTGTGTCTCTTATTCAGTAAGATTATTCTTCCGCCGCCGAAATATGTTTTACTCAAGACTCATACATTTTCGGTTTCCTCTTGGGGAATGAAAAACCTCCTGTTAAATTCAGTGTATGAATTTTAAGAAAGGAAATCAAGCTGAGAAGGCCCAAGAAGTTCTCACCCATTGAATTTTAAATGGTTGATGTATTTGTGTATGTGGTGGGTTTGGTTTTTGTGGGGTTTTTTGTTTTTTTTTTTTTTTTTTTTGGTCTTTTGTTTTATTGTATTTTACAGATTTGGAATCACTTTTTGGTGAGCCACTTGAAGGTTAATGCGTACAGTAAGGATCACATTTAAAGGTCACAGGGATCGTTAATAGCTGTCCTGGCCCACTTAAACAGAATTAAAATAATCGGAATTGAAAGCAGCAAATAGGTCAATCGAATGACTAGACTATACATTCCCATGCGCCCTTGGGTTTAATTACATACATGTATATTCACCTTGACTATGTGTGTGAACCCCATGGGAGCTAGTGTCACACACCGCTTGGGTACCAAAGCATGTTCCTTTAGCTTGACTTCAGCATAAACTGGCTGAGCACTCCTGTACTGTCCTAGACGTGGCATGTCCTAGAAATTGCTACAATCCTGTGCTGCTTCAATGAGGTTTTATCCAGCATCTAGTCCTTATTGGATGAAACCTCATGGATTCTTCTTTCCCTTTATACTCCATACCCCACAACAGCACGAAACATGAATGCTCACACTGGCACATGATGTCGATTCCTGTTGTTAGAATGTGAAGAGTTTCTGTTGCAGCTTCGTCTGCCTGGCTGTCCCTCCAGGATCTGAGCATGTTAAGAATTGCCAGGGCAGCACTTCTGGGCTTGCCTGTCCACATGTTTCTTAGGTTTCTTTTTTGTCCATATATTTTTCCTATATGTTTCCAACACCACTTCTCACCTATTCAATAACTGAAAAAGAAAGACATTATTCTATTCTTTGACATTTTTAAAGTAATGTTATGGCTCTCTTCTTATTTTGCTAACTGATGAAATCTTATTGTGCCACCCCCTGTATTTAGGGGTGTTTTGTGTCATAGAGGCATACATCAGTGATGTGTGTTATCCCTTATGTGACTCTGGGGAGTTCCTGTTCTAAGTGCTGATAAGGGTCATCTTGCCTGGAATATCCCACCAATCATGCCTCTGGGATTTCAGAATTAGTTTTCATTGTCACTATCAAGATATACTGCAGATTACTTAAATCTTGCGCTCAAAACAAAAACAGAATTGCAATATGTATTTCCTCTCTTCCGAAAACTGGTAAAAGAAAAAAGCATCAGTGACTCACAGAGCTAATCAGATAATACGTGTAGTTGACCAACCATAAAAGACAGTGTTTAGGTAATCAGGACATCTTTGATAGCACACATGTACTGCGTATGATTTTTTACCTATATAACAAACCAGGAAAAAATGATCCTTAAGAGTGAGGAGAGGAAGCAAGATGGGTTGCTTGGAGAAGCTAAATGATATGCCAGGATGCATATTACTACTCACAGGTACAATCAGAAATGAAACTGAAGAATTCTTCATTCAAAGGCCCTTTCCCTGTGACCTCTTTTCCTACCAATAAGGAATTAAATTGGAAAGAAGATAAATGTAACAACCAGAAAATCAGAGGGAAGGTAAACTCCACCAAAGTTGTTTGCAGTGCTGGGAATAGGCCTAACTTTTCGGGGTTTTTTTTTCTTGGTTCTGGATAGCAATTAAATGGTACAGAGAGTAGAATTTCTGGGAAGATAGGTGCTTGTCACACAGGTAGGCCTTAAGAGTATGACAGTAAGCATTAACACAAAGAATTGTATTGATGGGGCAGGTGAGTCACAAGGAAAATTAGTTGAATATTAAGAATTGAACAAATATTTGATCATGGGTAGTCAAATTTATAGTGAACAACACAGCCTGGATTTTGAGTTGGTAACATACAGTTCTCACACCAGAGTTCTCTTAACAAAAACCAAAAGAGGACAATTGGAATTGCCTTATTTATTTTTTAACTCAATCCTTACTAATTGGAAGGCTGTCCAGGTTAGCAGCAGAGTTGATTACATCATCTTGACAATAAGCAGCTGCCGTCTTGGGGATTCCATTCTGTTTTTGTTTCAGTCTGTCCTTGATGCTACTTCTTGTCATGACCTGTAGTTTGTCACTGCTGTCCTCTAACGTGATTCAGGTCACTGCAGAGTGTTTCAGGTGCAGGACTTTACAGCTCAATATTGTCTCTCTGACCCCAGCCATATTCTCTTTCAGAGTACAGTCTTCTCAGACTTCTTGTCTAGTTTTTTAAATTTTCCTTCCAGTAAATGATTGAAATTAGGACATCTTCCCAAGCAATCCCTGTAAAAATTTAAAGTTGTGGAAGTTCAACCCACTTAAAATTCTCCCTGATGTGTGTATAGGTATAAACAAAGTAATGTAGTAAAGGATTCACTTTATAATGAAGTCATTTCATTGGGAAGGAAAGCTGCAAAGATTATGTATTGGGGGACTAGCAATTAATAAAAACTGTAATATTTTTGAAGTGATAATTTGTACTAAGGTTGTGCATAATACCTATTAAATGTTTTTTTAAATTGGGCTTATTTCTTTTCAAAAATGAAGAGTACTTTGGAATATCTTCTGTCCTGGGTCAAATTCAATTACTAGTTATTCCTTTGTTTGAGTTTTTGGGTTTGGTTCCTTTTTTTAACCATCAAATTAAGTTGAAAAAGCAAAACAGAAATCATTTAGTTAAGAATTTGTGACTTGAATGTTGCTAGCGGGGACCACTGACATAACATCTATAGTAACTTTATGCTACATTAGCTATAAGACTTGAGAGATTCTAGAATTCAGTTTCTACAGGATCTCATTGCAAACTTATGAAAGCATGAATTGCTGGAGCAGTTTGAGTATGGTACTGCATGGTGGCAGGAGAAAGGAATCAACATTCTTTTCAGTTTGTTCTAAGCAAATCAGTACACAAAATTTAGGTCGTAATGTTCTCTGATGATTTTCAGGAGTAAGAATACACTGATAATCTCTAATAAATATGGCTGGTCCTTCTTGACAGTAGGGAGTGCTACATTGAAGTTACTTAATCTGAGCACACAGCACTGGGACTTAGCTAGGAAGGAAGAACAGCCACTTGCAGAAGCTTCCTTTCTAAGGAGTGGGGTGTGGAGGGGAGATAAATTTAAAATTCATGCTCATACAAAGCAAACTGCTTGCCTGTATCTCAGATAATAAGAGTACAGATGAGAAGGCAATTGTAAACAGAGAGATAGGGAAGATTCGAGACAAAAGCATTAAGAGTTTTAAACTATTGTTTACTTTTTTAGTACATTTCATTTTTAGAGCAATTTTAGATTTACAACAAAATTGAGTAGAAAGTAAGGATAACCAGCCAAGTGTGGTGGCTCACACCTGTAATCCCAGCACTTTAGAAGACAGAGGCCAGAGGATTACCTGAGCTCAGGAGTTTGAGAACAGCCTGAGTAACATGACGAGACCTCATCTCTACAATAAATCAAGAAGTAAGCTGGGCATGGTGGCACATGCCTGTGGTTCCAGCTACTAGGAAAGTCTGAGGTGGAAGGATCACCTGAGCCCAGCAGGTCAAGGCTGCGGGTGGCTGTGAACATCCCATTGCACTCCAGCCTGGGTGACAGAGTGAGACTCCAACTCAAAAAAAAAAAAGAGAAAGGATTCCCATACACCCCTGTCCACACATGCACAAGCCTCTTTGCTATCCACATTCCCCACCAGAGTGGCACATTTGTTACAATCAAACTTACACAGACACATCATCACCCGAAGTCCACAGTATGCATTAGGGTTCACTCTTGGTGTACATTCTATGAGTTTGGACAAGTATATACTGACATGTATCTACCACTGCAGTATATTATAGAAGAATCTCACTGCCCTTAAAATCTGCTACGCTCCACCTACTCATCCCTCTCTTTCACTGTCTGTAGTTTTGACCTTTCCCGGATGTCATGGAATTGGGCTCAAACAGTGTGTAGTCTTTTCCTGGGTTGATAGGTCATTTCTTTTTTTAGTGCTGAAAAATCTCTCATCATCTGGGTGTACCACAGTTTATCCATTCAGCTATTGAAAGACATATTAGTTGCGTCCAAGTTTTGGCAATTATGAATAAAGCTGCTACAAACATCTGTATGCAGGTTTTTGTGTCGACATAAATTCTCAATCCATTTGAATACCAAGAAGTGCAATTGCTGGATCATATGGTAAAAGTATGTTTGTAAGAAACTGCCAAACTGTCTTTCAAAGTGGCTATCCCATTTGCATTCCCACCAGCACTGGATGAGAGTTCCTGGTGCTCCACATCCTCACCAGCATCTGGTGGTGTTGGGGTTTTTTTGGATTTGGGTCATTTTAACAGGTATGTAGTGGTATCCTGTGTTTATTTGCGGCTCCCTAATGACATATACTGAACATCTTTTCATATGTTTGTTTGCCATCTGTGCATCTTTGGTGAGGTGTCTGTTCAGATCTTTGGCCCATTTTTTAAGTGGATTGTTCATTCTGTTGAATTTTAAGAGTTCTCTATCATTTTGGATAACAATCCTTTATCACATGTGTCTTTTGCAAGCATTTTCTCCAAATCTGGCTTGTCTCCTCATTCTCTTGACATGGTCTTTTGCAGAGCAGAAGGATTAAAATTTTGATGAAAAGTGACAAGGTCAATTTATGTACATGGAAAGGATGTTCGCTGATGAGAAAGATCATTTCAGAGGAACTTCAATGACAGTTTAGTATTTTATTCTGTAGATAAGAGAAGTAGTTGGTAGTAGAAATACCTAAAGAAATTTGTGTGGTAGAGTGGAGAAGAACACAGGGTGGCCTGGGCAAATAGCAACTCTTCAAAGCATCATTTATAAATGGTATGAAGTGGGGCCAACACTTTCTTCCTGAAAGACAGACTGGGACCATTTATTAAATAACAAACCATTGCTTTTACAAAGGTTTTTCCAGGGGTTATTCAATTGTATTGACATGTTCAAATAACATTGGAACTGATACATCCTTTCTATTTTTAAACATACCTTTTTTTCAGGGTTTTTTTTAGCATTTCATTCATTTTAACTTATCTTCAAGTTGTATCTTTTACTTTTTGTTTAATTTTGTTCTTTTCCTAATCTTAATTAAAAGTAGCCCTGGGTTTCATTATTTTTAGTCTTTCATAGTGAACAACAAAGATATTTAAATGTATACATTTTTCCCCTGATTATAGCTTTAGCTGCCCTCTACACATTTTGGCATGAAATATTATCCTCGTCATTAACTGCTAGGTTGTAATTTGCTTTTATTTTCTCTTTGACCCAAGGGTTATTTAGGAGACTGTGTAATTTCTAGGTAGTTAAAAGGTTTTTTTGGTTGTTTTGGGGTTTTTGTTTTTGGGTGGTTTTTTTTTTGTTTGTTTGTTTTTTTGGTATTTTAAAGTTGCTTACTCCTAATTTTACTCGAATGTGACCTGAGAATATGACTTAGAAGAGAGTCTACTTTTTACAATGTATTAAGGTTTGTTTTGTGGCCACGTGCAGGATTTATTTTGTATGTGATTTCATCAATTTTTTTTTTAGTCATAAGATACAAAATTGTGTGTGTGAGGGAGAGAGGGAGGGAAGGGAGGGATATCGATATCGATCTGACATATCAGTTTCCCCATACCCACTCACAGAGGTCTCTTTGAGAGGCAGGCCTGTGAGGGGCAGGTGAAGGCTCCAAGGGTATGGCCTCCCCCTGTTCTTAGCATGATTCCTTAGATTTTTAAAATAAATGCCTCTGAATTTGCTGTAAGCCTTTTTATCAATCTCCAGAGACTCAGAATGATTGCTTTTGCTAATTTTGACCAGTTGAACAGAGGTCTCTCTGAGGAAAATGTCCCTTGAACTCTCACCCTCTGGGCTCCCTGTTCTGAGCCATGGGCCTCCTTGTCTGCCCCGGGCCAACATAGTATGGTCTTACTTCATTTAACTTTAATATCTGGCAAAAACAAGCACTCTTGCCATATTCTTTTTCCTTAAGAGTATCTTGGCTATTCTTGACTCTTTGTATTTTCATATATGTTTTTGAATTAACTCATCAAGTTCCATTACTTACAAACCTGTTGGAATTTTTAACTGGAATTGCATGGAACAGAAGAGACATCTTTATGTGACCTTGGGTCTTCGATCTAAGAACATGGCATATGCTTCTATTTAAGGTTTTCACTGATGTTTCTCAGTTTTTAGCTTATTTTTAAAAGTTTGAAACACACACAAAATCAAAGGGAATAATTTGGACCCTTGTATATCTCTTTCATAACCTTAATACCATTATATCTAACAAAATTCTTATTTTAAAATGTGCTGTTTTTTAGTAAAGAATAGTATACTTGAAGTACATTAGTATACTTAAATATAGAATATTGACTGTATCAGCAACCTTGCCAAACTCTCCTAAAATTCTAACCACTTACTGTATTTTAAAATACCTAATGTCCCATCAGTTACCAGATGCACTATTTTTTTTCTAACACATATTTTTTATTTCAAAATTGTGGGGTACAATTAAGGGTTAGGTATACAAATATGCATTGTGTAGGCACCCTTCTTGATGAGGTGTGCCCCCCCGTCCCCAGATGCATTATTTATCTACCATTATTAAGGTTTCCCGGTGGCTCAACCTGTAATCCCAGCACTTTGGGAGGCCAAGGCGAGTGGATTACCTGAGCCCACGGGTTCGAGACCAGCCTGGGCAACTTGGCGAGACCTCGTCTCTACAATAAATCAAAAATTAGCTGGGTGTGGTAGCATGCGCTTGTAGTTCCAGCTGAGGCTGAAGGATCACTGGAGCCCAGCAGGTGAGTGTGCCACTGCCCTTCGGCCTGGGTGTCAGAGTGAGACTCCAACTCAAAAAAAAAAAAAAAGACTTCCAACTAAATTATGACCACCATCTATTGTGGGACACAACCTAATTACAGAGATGTTAAAATATTTTTAAATGTGTTTTGGAATTGATAAAACATGGTATCTGTTGACTCTTGGAATTTCAGTGTAGAAATCGTGTCATCTGCCAACAACGAATTTTGTATTTTCCTTTCTTATTTTTTTGTATTTTTGTGTCTCTTTTTTTGCCATACAGAGCTGGCTAGAACATCTAGTACAATGTTTAAAATGCTGATAGTAGGCATTCTTGTGCTATTTTTGCTCTCAAAGGGGAAGTGTTCATATTTTTATCATTAAGTATGATATTGTTCTTTTCTTTAGCTGTCTTTCATTTAATTAAGGAAATTCTCTTCTCGGCTTGCTGAGTTTACCTTTTGTATGAATGGTTGTTGAATTTTATCAAAGATATTTTCTGCATGTATTGAAATGATTTTGATTTTTCCTCCTTTTGCTTGTTAATATAGTGAATTACACTGATCAGTTTTTCAGTGCTAAGCAAACTTTGCATTCTTGCTGCTTTTTTCTCTGTCAATAGTTTTGCAACTACTGGCATATGTGAGAAAGTCTTTTTATACTGTCCTTAAACAGTTCTGATACAGTTTCATTAACCTCATAAAATGAGTTGGGGAGTAAACTCTTCTCTTAAAACTGAAAGAATTTG